GAGATCATAAGAATAAAAAATTTCCATGCCGTCCTCGAGTTGTTCATTCCCCCAAGATACCTGAACCAATTCCACAATTCGACCCAGAAGCAGGTCCAGGCCCATCTACTCAAGCACATAGAGAGGAGATATCACAAATCAGAAATCCTTCAGATTCTAATAAGGGCGGAGCCCCATTGCGAAGCAATAATGAATCGGAAATTACTCAGGAGGATATCAATTTACTTATTGCATTGGGTTTAATAGAGGAACCCGAAATCGAAGAATGTTGGCCTGAGTTGGGAGGTACTCTTTTAGCGGACAAGGCAAAGAGCAAAAAATTTAGGTCATATTATAGAGATTCAGGATTAGCAAGTATTACAGTTAAACCACCACCAGGCGATATACTCTTTGAAGAGGCTATAGTCGGAGATCCTGATAGACCGCACTCAAGTTTATCTTCATTAAGTAAATGGCAAGCAATTGTCCCATCATGTGAAAATCCCGCATATACTTTTAATATACCCATAGATGACCCCCAAAAATATGCTGAAGTCCCATACATGCCACATCTTATGGCATTAGCTCGAGAGCAAATTACAAGTGTACTAAAGGCTGAACTCCGACGAAAAGATCAAATAAAATCCGCATTAGTAGTATACTGTAATTATATGAAAAAGGAAAAGAAAGATAAAGGGGATTATAATATAGAAATTCCAATTTATCATCAAAAATATCACAATGGAAAGATGCGAGCAATTCTTTCAGAAAGTGATATAGATGAGCATATTACTCTTTCAGCTGGAGAAATTGATGCAAAAATAGAAGCGTTTTTAAACAACGGATCAGGATGGACACTAATCCGAATAGAAATGATATATATTGAGGTTTATGCATTACGTCGAGCAGAAGGTGGATCATATATACCGACGCCAAAAAATCTCGCAAATAAAAAATGTACCATAAATCCCGATAATTCTAAAACGAAGGATGATTTATGTTTAAAGTATGCCCTTGGCGCATATTTTGCTAATTTTGAGGGAATAACAAAAGACTTACAACGCCTCTCAGTAATTCGTCCATATTTAAAT